AACAACGTTGGAATACTATTCTTAAACTTTACAGAAAGATTCCATAATTTTACAATCGTATTCTGCACGATCACCAAGGAAGAACTATTTGCATGTTCTATTTTATCCTTGTCAAAGTAGGCCGTCCTGTCCTGTATGCTGACTACTTGTAGCAACACCACGTAGTGCTCTAATGAACCAGTGTGCCTGTATGTGTAATCTCATGCTTCTCTTCATGTTCCTGTAAAGATGTGTTTTTTATGAACAATTTTTTTACAAATTTAATACGACAGCTCTCATGTCACAGGAGTCAAACAATACCCAGCCAATATTCCTCGTCCACTCCCTCTCACATGTACATAATGCAAAACACATCAGGCCAAGAATTTATTCTACACGTAAGTATCAGAATCCGACAGCGATGAAGCCTGTCTGATTCTGGGACAATATTCTAGTTTTATGACTTTTAGAATTTATCAAATAGAAAAGAAGAGCCATTCACTTTTTGTTCTCTGGGAACATGGCTTATCAGTTTCAATATAAGTGTAAAACCGTAACATGCTTATGGTTAAACAAATCCCATCAAAATAAACGTACCTCATAGACTCTATTGGAGAATATTCCCATAAGGTGATCAGTCACTCAGTCCGTTCATTTTATTACTGACTCAACTGAAATGAGCTTGACAGTTTTTCATATCACATTGTGTATCTGCACCATCTTTTCACAAGAACAAAACGGCACAACTATATAACGGTGCATTAGTCTTGTTCTGAATAATCCAAGTCTATGCTAAAATTAATTAGAAATCCTACATACCTTCCATATATTGACTTGATAGTTTTAAAATAGTAGTGAAAAAACCAACAGTTTGATTTGGACCTTTTAGAACATGGTTATTTGGGAGTCTACCGGATACTGATGCACTGGTGCAAATATCAATAGTTTACAGAATGTCATCAGACAGGTTTGTGCGCGTCAATAGCACTGACTGGATAACTATTTGCCTATAATAAACGCGTTATACCAAAAACCACTAATTCACATATTGTTCATAAACGTGCATCAAAGTTCAAAGTTCGAAGTTTTATTTTGATAATAACTTACAAGTTCATGCTTTTTTCGTCTAATAGGTTCGTGATGTGGTTTAAAGACAGTGACGCATACAATTTCTTGCTTTAAAATGTCACGTGATACGGTCTTCTTGCACTGCTGCACGCAGCTTCATTCATGTTGTAATCTTTGGCGTGCTAAAGCCTCATCGAGCCTCAGTTTGAAAGATTCAACGCTTAGTGCACAGACGGCGTCGGGTGCGAGTGAGTTCCAGATCGAACACACTCAAACTGCGAATGACTGACGCCGGCATTTTGAGACTAGTTTGAACGGATGTCCTTTGAGATGAACGTTGGGTGATAATCTTAGCAGCGGGCGACAGGGATGGCTTCGGTTCTGCATTATTTGGTATATCATAATTATGTCTTCTTTGATTCACCGGCAGTGCTTGGAATATAACCTCAACGATTCCGATCTCTCTGCCTACTAATAACGATTCAATCTCTTGACCACTTCAGTGGCCATCCTTTGTGGACGCTCCAGCATTTTGCAATCACCCATAACAATCACATATAGCTGTGAATGCAGATGTGTGAATCTACTTTGAGGCTTCTCCTGATGTTTATCTCAGAATAACTTCCAATGAAGTGACCAATGGATAAATTTAGAGGAGTGCTTAATTGTGCCGAGAAAATAGTTGGACACAAGGTGAAATCGATCAATGCGTTTTATTCTTCTCATTGTGTTGCGTGTTCAAGAGACCGAACGTATCTAAAAGCTATGCATAAATCTAGATAAGTTTCAAACAAGACGATTTTGCATCCACTGACACATTCACGGGATCAGCCCTCACTTCAACCAGTTCCTGCACCAGACTCTACCAGTCTGTACCAGACTTTTGCTTCTTAGGCCGCATTACGTAGTCCATTATGTTTCATTCCACTTAAGCTCTACTTGGAAATCACCAATTCGGTTCCTTAGCGGATGATCTATTCCCAGTTTCTCAATTCCCATTTTTGTTCAATTTACTTTTAATATGATGTGTCAAATGTGTNTCTGGAATCAATCAGGTTGAGAGAGGTGCTGAAACGCCTATTGCGATTTGGAGGAAATCTGGAAGAACATTATCGTCAAAGTTGCCCGAAACAAGTATTGGTGTCGGGAAGACGAATAATAGTAATTTGATGTTTTTTCAGGTAATTTTCACTGATAAAAATATGTATTCCTACGACTGTTGTGATCTAAATTCAGTCGCTAATTGATCACGCTTTTTTTTCGTAACCTTAATTTGAGTTATTGAAAAGCACATACTCCACTTATTTGCAATTCGGTAATGAAGCCCTGTTTGTGATCAGTCTCTCACTTCGAGTCATCATAAGACACTACCAGAAACATTTGAATGCGGATAACAGTTGGACTGACGATTCCTTCGTGTGTCGAGGTATAAACTGTGAGTTGTCATAGTGGGAGATCTTAACAACTTTTTATTGACCTCTATCTGTTTAACCTTCTACCACTGCAAATGCCTCGGCGTCACTCAACCTGCTATAGGATCATGACAAGAGGCTGACTTTTGGTGGGCAGTTAGCACAAAAAAATGTACCTTTTTAGCGAATTAGTTCATCGAATTATGACCCTGTAGTCAAAGAACTGCAATTATGTAAGGAATGTTTATGTAAGAACTTAGAGTTTGTTATCGGATCACGCAATTGTCACGCAATGTGTGATGTGTATCGCTGGTTCTTTTTACGCTTTCATAAACGCCGTTGGTTCGATAGAGTTGTCACAGTTCGGTATGGATTTACGGTATAAATGGTCAAGTTGTCCACACGGTACTTGAACAGTGGAAAGTGGGTTGGTTTTGATGGTGGTTATTGCGGAACAGATTGTAAGCCCCAACTAGATAACTGGATGGCAATGACTCATCTATCGACTAAAAACGATCCATTGGTGTCAGCGGAACATGACTCGATCTGGCTGTTCAGGGTGTGGGAGATAAAGACGTAATACGTACAGACATGCACAGGTGCGCGCAAGGTTAATGATCGAGATATATCACGATATTTGGGGTTTATGATACTGCGGAACGTGAAAGTATTCTCACCATCTGTCTGCGCGTCAGCAGTAGACCGATAAATCTGTGTGCTGAATGATGCTTTGGACATCGCTTTGAGTCTAGTATGGTAAGTGGGCCTGGTAAGTCCGATGAGGCCACCGTCCCACGAAAACACCTGGATTTTATAGCGACACAACTTGGAATGCTAAGCAGATATCATAACTTGATTCCAGGCATCTTTGTATGCGACTCGGATGGCAGAAACCAGAACAGATAGGAAGAGATCAGTCTACGACCGCCCCAGAGTAGACTCAGACAGTGGATCGTTTTGGGGTTGAACTATCACTATTCACCTTTTGTCTTTCACCTAAATTGATTGGCATTTACTCTATTTGGTTACCTATTTTCCGCTTACGTCCTCATACCTCTTCATCATCACTGTCTCCAATGTAAACAATATAAGAAGATTGAGCTAATGAGAGCCCGATGAGATACGAGACTCGATGTGGCAATAACGTGTTTATGTGGACCTCGCGGGACAGAGAGAGTCAGAGAGAGAGCGAGGTAGAATACCGACCAGAGTGTCATCCTATTTATTTGAACGAGACAAAAAATACAACAACCAAACCAAATGATGCGTTCAGTTTTCGTCTCCATGGGTGGAAATCTTTCGTTAATTCTCCCAATGAAAATGCTTTCCACAGAAGGGTCATTGAGCAGACATTCCACAGGCTGTGTAATTGGTTTCGTGACTTCCCATCTTGTGTTTCTCCACTCCTAGAGCGATCCAATGACTTTTTATATCCTACTCTGGCTGTAATTGGTAAGAATAAGCCAGGGTTACCCTCAGCTATGCCATTGTGTTCTAGTTGTCAGATTGACTCATAGACCGAATTCCCACTATCAAACGGAATATGACCTTCCCACTGTTTTATGTTATACTGATAAAGTCTATGTAAGGTAGATAAAATTGTACGTTTAAACGGAGTGCGCTTTTTTGAATTGATCCTTCAAAATAATACTTTGTTTCTCAAAGGAAACTGTCCCTAATTAGTACTTTGATGTGGGCGTTTTGAATCAAAAATACTGATGTCTCCATTTCAAGCAGAAGGATGAATAAACCACCATACTGTAAAACGACATCCCCATTTATTCGCATTGAGGTTTTCATCTAATTGGAATGGGAAATTTGACCAGGTCACCTGCAAGCATATATTGTGGCTGCTGGTTAAGATGATATCTATGACGTACATCAAGGAAGGTATACAGGGTGGGTTTTTGAGTGCGATCAACTGTTGGGATTCTGAGACGACGCGTATCTGACGGTGTCGAAATAGAAGCTGAAGGTAGTCTATCGATTCCTTTCATTCCTTTTTCAGTGTTTGAAGTGTGATTATTCATTAAATAATTTTAGAAACAGCATTCTGTGACAAAATCGAATATGACACCATGAGACAAATGAAGAACGCCCCATTTGCAGTCAATTAGCGTAAAAGAATTATCATAACGCTGTCAAATTTCATAAAATGTCACCTACCGTCATAACCAAAGTTAGAAATACTTCTATTTTCCGTCGTAAACCTGGAGACCTCTCACATATTTAATTCAGACTTTGGAGAAAAAACAGTGTCATGTTCCCTATAGTCTCCAGCTAGCCTCAAATTCAAATTCGGTAGCCTCGGTGGGATACAAACCCACGCATGGACGCCGCCTACGCTTTTGTACAGTGTGCGCTGTACCAGCTGGGCTACGAGGTCACACCGAGAGCACTGATCTTTTGAATCACCCATTCAACCTATAGAGGCATACACCAGATAGCATGTAAGCTGAATGCCACGACAGATTAATTGTTCAAATTATTGTTTGGCAGAATATTTTGATATGTAAAAAGATCAGTGCAATCCGTGTGACCTCATAGATTAGCTGGTAGAGCGTGCGTGGTACAATAGTTTAGGTGGCATCCCTGCATGGGTTCGAATTCCGCCGAGGCTTCTGAACGTTCCACAATTTCCACATAAGACTTCATTCTGCAGAACAATAATTTGGGCAACTGGAGTGATTTGTTGTTAATAAGCGTTATTCGTAAATGTAATAGAAGATATCGCATATTTGTCACTGTGATAGAAATGAAAATAATTACGTCACCTCGCTCCCCATGATTCTTTTGTGATAAAAGTTTGTGTGTACAGATATGAGAACTGTTTCTTCACTTACCTGGTAGAACCAACCGCTGGAGTCAACCTTCGTCCATTTTTGTACCATTCAATTGTGGCTCTCGGATGCCCCGCATGCTCGAATTCGCACGGAATAATTAGGGTCGCGCTGACCGAGCTCTGGACAATCGCAGCCTTGGGTTGGAGTCCCAGATTGTCACCAGGTTGGACCGGAAACGGAACAACTGATGAACTCAGTCGGAGTCGTGGAGTGACGTGAATTCGTAATCGAGCAGTTGCTGAGAGTGGACCACTCATGTAGGCCATACCGTAGTTCAAGTTATCATCATATCTTGTAAATCCATCGCCAGCTAGTGGATACGCTTCCAAATAGGCTTGACATGTGAATTCTTCCATATAGGTCTCAACCAACCCTGTAAGAACAGACATCGTTGGTGTGCGAATATTTGATACGGTCAGACTTCTGTTCAGGCCAGATCGATCAAACCGGTAAGAACGCGCGTTGTCCGACTGGCTATCGTGTGAATGAATGAGCTGCATTTGGCTCGGTCCTGCATCATCCACTTGACGGTGATACCAGCGAACACGTAATGCATGTGATGGACTTTACAGCAAATTGAAAATTGAAGACATAACATGAGTATTACCTGTGTATACTTCATTCGAGTGATGTATTCATAAAGCGAAGGTTCTGATGTATAGCGAAACACTGAATAGAACCGGAGATGTGAAAAATGCTTGGGCCTACTGTCTCATTCCTTAGAATTCCCCATGACCAGAGTTTCTTTAGTTGAAAGCAACAACCCTACACTAACTGAAAATATTTGAAAAATGTTTGTCTAATCAATATTGTTGTACTGCTTAACAATAATCACTTCGTTTCATTCTTTGAGCACTGTACACAGGAACGCTTATCTATTTTCCACTTTCGTCTGCTTATGAACATACCAAAGAGCAACTCTAAAACCTTGGATAATGAGCAGTTGCGGTGAAGCAATAAATGAACCAAAATTATAACTATTTGCAACTAATCCTAAAAAAGAACATTTTCAGTGAAATAAAAAGTTAGCCTTCACTACTATCATCGTAAATTTACTGTGGTCTGCCTTCATTTCAATTAATTAATTAATGCTTTTGAATATCCACCTTTCGGGGTGCATAAGGCGAATACCTGACTAGACTAATCACTGTTCCAAAATTCGCTTGTGGTATTTTTCTGTTGTTTTTATGGTGGTGGTGGTGATGGTTGTGGTGGTGGTGGTGGTGGTGGTGTTAGTTGAAAGAAAGTTCAAACTCGAAAACTTTTGGTGTGAATTTGGCATTTTAAGACTTATCCGAGTGAACTCAAACAAAAAGGTTATTTTTTAACTTTTTCGAGTGGTTATGTGACATATTTTATCTCATAGCAAAATAGTTTTTACAAAGTTTCCGTGAATGTATGCTTTCCGTAACTATCTTTTTGTAAGGACCGTTCCTCTAGTATTCCAATTGAAAATGTGGTATAAGCTGGTAATTTACCTTTACCACACTTTATTGCAAACACTTATGTTTGTATTAGTAAAGTGAATTATGATGCATATCAAGCATGCACTTTCGGGAATTTGGTTAAATTTGAGTGTACGTGAGGCGCAAATTGAAAAACAAACTTTAAACACAAACTTATGTAGATCATCAATTGCACGATAAGTACCAAATTGCAGTAACAGGACATAATACTTTCATTCTCGCTTTTTCTGACAAAAATGTGCCTAAAAGGAATCATTTCGGCGTCATAGAAGGAATTCATCTTGGTCCATATTGATATGTGCCCAATTAAAGTATTCGTGATCATTTAACTGAGGAATGTCTGGTCCGCTTTGCTAACGAAGATCAGATGCATGAGGCATAACCACGTACACAGGTGGTCTCCGTTTTACATTAAATTTGGTGTTGTAGAAGTTCACTATCTCACGCTTTTACATTCATGCATTCAAATATAATGTAGAGGTGTTTTGGCTGGCAATACACGAACAATTACCCGGTGTATTTTCCGAACCCAACATCATGGAACAAGCAGTAACATGATGTTAAGCCTTTAATTGCAATAGTGACAAGAGTAGAATGGCTGCATAACGTTTTCCTGGCAATATTTATTAAACCTGTGATGTGATTCCAATACTGAGCTGAAAAATGTATAAAGCATAAAAGCTAAACTTACCGTCTTCTAAGACAAATACTTTTTATTCCAAAAATTTATAAACAAATATCGCACTCCCGAAAGATAAAAGAAAAAGGTTCAATTAGATAATAAAATAAATTCATAATAAGGTTATCGAAAATTCGAAACTAGAAGTATATACTGTGCAACGAAACCTCATTTGCAGCTCGGGGAGCAAATTTGAGACAAACAAGTCTCGAAGCTTTATTGTGATTCTGTATCAGGTGTCTTTATCCTAATGATTCTTCGAGACGTATTCGTCTCAAAACCACTCTCCGAGCTGCGAATGAGGTTTGCATTGCATAATTGGGAGTTCAAGTATTTGAAGGTTGTCGGATACGCATACCTGACGAGCGCAAGGACCACAAAACCAGTAGTGTGCTACTGAGAAATTTCTTCCAATCATTTATATACTACTCATCATAAAAACTATACGCATAAATATTATATTATCATTCAGGGTTGACCGCATCGTAAATACTTCGACTGGAATGGGTCTCATAAACCCTGGCATACCATGCAACTGATCACTCGATTGAGAAACAGGCCAAGTCACTTCTTTCAAATGCGGTCAGTGGAGCGAATCACGCATCTGTCTGATTATAAAGAAGTAGAAAGTAATACTAGAAGTCAATACTTCTAGTGCAGCACCACTAACTGAAGCTATATTCTAGGTACGCGAAACGTCGCAGATAAATTTATCCTTGCACGCAGGTCCCGACCTAGCAGTGAACTTGACAAAATTAAATAGATTCATTCACTTTAACAAATGTTGACCAATTCTCCCTTATACGGCTGTAACGTGAGACCAGTAGGAATAAACAGACTGAAACTCACTAAAATTTGTTTTCAAAACCTCAGCCTATCAAGGAAATTTTCATCAACGTTTTGCTACCTACTTGTTGCAATGTACCAGGTAGAGTTTCATTTCTTCCATGGAAAGATGGAAACGTAACAGAAATTTCGTTTGAATAATGCACAAAATCCTCGAAGGAATTGGAGTTTGAAAGTTGCAACTCTGTTGCAACGATCTTTAATTTATTCTGTAGTTATATAAAAATGCAAATCGATCTAGAACTAATTGTCATAGTGGACCAATACTGTGGATCGTTCAAAAAATAAATATATAAAGATAAATATATAGTTAATCTTAGTCGGCAAATGATTGTACAAGAACGTCAGCAAAATATACATCAAGAATGCTGCAAATTTCCTTAAAAAAGTGTTCAGTGCAATCTCAAACTTCTAAAGCCAAGTAAGCGAAATAAAGTTAATTATTCACCATTTCTTTTTTCTCACCTAACGGCATAATCAATGAGACATGATGCAAAAACAATACAATCTTCATGTCCAACAAATGAATATTGAGTTTAGCCATCAAAAATGCTTGGGCGTCTTCAGAGATTCTTACTACTGTTCTAATACAATTCCTTATCCACTGAGGTTTTCAAAACTTGGTAAAATCTAAGGTTATGAGGAATGGTGCTGAAGACATTTGTCGATTGATTTTCAAGAAAATCGCACTTGGTACTGCGTGTTATTAGATAACTCTTTTTTTAAGGCAAAATTTAATTTAGAACCGTTTGCTATATAACATCCAAAAATGGAGTAAGGCAAAAGTCAATTCAGCCCAACTACCTGCACGAATTCTACACCTTTCACACTGAGTCAGTACCGCACCATGGGACATGCATAATTGAAGCTCCAGTTATAAATTAGTAATCGCCAGAAACAAAGCTGTTTTGCTCAATATTTATCACCGAATAGCCTCAAGACTATTATGCGACAACTGAATCCATCCACTCAGTGTTTGATTTCCTTCAAGTTAGTTGTAAATTCGAGAAACTAGTCAAGCCTTTCCTATCGATGATTTCATCATCTCTAGTATTATAACCATCAATGTGAATTTCATCGTTGTTCCAAACGTTAATGTTTCTATACAACTGTCATTGTAATCAAAATGGTCACCGTGAATATCCCAGTCACTCACACACTATGAGATTTACCACAATGTCCTGTTAACGATCACTTCAATCCCAACTGGAAGACATTATTCAGGCAAAGTTCATTCCCTAAAACATTAGCTCGTCTCGAGCAAGAGCGTTTTCTGCTGTCTAAATTTGGCATCAGACAGATATTCGACTTCTTTCGGTCTTCCGTTCTGACTAACGGACATCGCATAAGCTGAGTGGCCGGAGTAAAATGCTTTGCACTGCATTGATGTGGCAATCATATGCAAATTTTGCAAGGAACGAGTTCTATTGGAAACCGATTTACCGCGAGTCTCTAGCTGAATAAATCTACATGTCAGAGTGCGTAATTATTTTAGTAAATTATACTAAAATCCAAAGTATTCGCAGTGACAATTACCACCATGTCCAGTTGCATCAAATACCCTAAGGGACGAGGTTATACGTCACTCGGTAATTTTTCCCACCCTTTTTACTAATGTCCACTTAGTTTATGCTTCGAGCAATTTGATGGTCGTGTGTTTTCGATTCAGTTCACAGAGTAGTAGCAAAACTGTCAGCAAATTTCGCCACCCACAAACACAGTGCACTGATCGATTACAAATCTCGCTCTGAAATAACCATCACAACAAAAGGATAAAGCGGTTTTATAAAGGTTAACAAATACCTAACCCTTAAAGGCGTAACGGAAAGATCCTGGGTGCGCGGGAGCTCGCGGGAGAGAGAAACAGCACCGACGTGACAAGCGACGGCGCCCTGCCTGTGAACACAAGTTTAACTACTCATTCTAACTGCCTTGTCGGTCATCGACCAAACTTCATATTTGGGGTTGACGCCGTGCAACCGGGTTACTGACTAATGTGAACACACTAGCAGGTGGATAACTGAATAACTAAAACCATTCTGACACACGCAATGAGTTTAAATACACAGTGTAGTGCATAGATGAGAAAAATGTTAACCGCCAAAATTCGATTCATTTGAAAACAAATTTATGCGTAAGATCTGTTTTTAATTATTTAAAAAATCTGTCATGATAGTTATCAATCAAACCTCTGCAGTGAATTCATTGATGAAATCAGGTATGATAAACGTTTTTCCACTCGATATAAACTTCAACATATAAAATTGTATAGTTACAATAATTTTGATACAATTTTTGCTACTTTCTTTTTCAAGAGAATCCACACGATCACCTAAATGGTAGACTGTTGTCTTCATGCAAAGTAGGCATCTACATGGGTTTCAGAACCACTATGTACAATTCCAGCTAACCCTAATGTATTATCTTGTCATTAGTAACGAATCTGAAAATCTGAGTTACGGTGTTGACTTTCCGTAAGCACAAATGATGGCGAAAAAGGTCGGAGAGCTTTGCACTTGATCACTACTTAAAAGCTGACAAATAAATCCCAATTACCAAAACACATTTCAAAT